TCTTTTGCTCTTCAGTGCATATCTTCCTTCCGTGGACGTTGTGGAAGATCAAGAGGGGTTTGGTTGGGCCGTGTTTGAGTTTAACTTGCAGTTCAGTCTCCTGATCTCCTAAAATAACACTGCACTCACGGGGATGGCGATATGTAATGTGGCTTAAAGTTGTCTCAACTTTTCGATAATAATAAAAAGCTTGTAGCAGGAAGTTTTCTACTTACAATGCTCTCTGAAATCACTTCTGTCTCTGTGCTACTGCTAACCTTGTTGTTCGTTTTGGGTTCTTTAGGAACCAAGCAGCAAGAAATTGTTGTCTCCCGGGGCAAGATCCTGGAGTTACTTCGCCCAGACCCCAACACGGGCAAGGTGCACACCTTGCTCACAGTGGAAGTGTTCGGGGTCATTCGCTCCCTCATGGCCTTCCGGCTCACAGGGGGCACCAAGGACTACATCGTGGTGGGCAGTGACTCGGGCCGCATCGTAATCCTGGAGTACCAGCCCTCCAAAAACGTCTTCGAAAAGATTCACCAGGAGACCTTTGGCAAGAGTGGCTGTCGACGGATTGTTCCTGGCCAGTACTTGGCCGTAGATCCAAAGGGCCGTGCTGTGATGATCAGTAAGTCCCATTTGTGAGCTTGGGCGTTTCTCATGGCGGTTTTGGGGGTTTTGTGTGTTTACGGTCTTGGGGGTATTTGTTTTGAAGCTGGTTTCTGCCAGGTGTAATTACGAGTTTCTTCTCTGACACTTTGCTGGGATATGAGACATGTTAAGGAGAAAACAGAGAAGTTTGCTGCTGCTGGAGTTGCACAGGCGAGTTTTAGTGCTAAATGYGAAGCAATTTGGAAACGAACCTGCCTGCCTGGTAGTGAGCAGCCCCCTGAATCATGAGGTCTGGAAGAACATGCAAGACTGAGGGCATTTGTGCTGCAGCAGAGTCATTCAGCTTTCAAGGCCTGAAATGATGGTGTGAATTCATGTCTCTTCTCTGAGGTATATTGTGGAGAGAGCTAAAAGCATTTCTGATCAGGCTTTGCAGATAGAACAGCTGGGTTATRTTTTTTTATAAGATTTAGCCTCTTGGTGACTTGGTTCAATACCAAAAATTGCCAGCAGATGATGAGCAGCAGCATGAGAGTGAGAACCGTGACTGCCAGTGCGTACCAGAGCTGCCTGCCTGTGACATTGCTTCCGTYAGCGCTGAGAGCAGGAGCTTATAAGTAGTTTAAAGGTCTGTGTTGGATATAACTGCTTTTTTTTCTTTTTATCTAATCACATTTTTCTTGATGAGAAGGTAGCACAGTTGTGTTTATGCCGTTCAGATGGATAGCCAGTTTGAGGCTGGCATCCTTTGCTTTTGTCATCAGGAGGATGCCCAGCTCATCCCAGCCATTGCTGCCCTCTTCTTGCAGGTGCCATTGAGAAGCAGAAGTTGGTGTACATCCTGAACAGAGACGCTGCCGCTCGCCTCACCATTTCCTCCCCTCTGGAAGCCCACAAGGCCAATACTTTGGTCTACCATGTGGTGGGAGTTGATGTAGGGTTTGAAAACCCAATGTTTGCATGTCTGGAAATGGACTATGAGGTGAGGGGAACTTGTGTTTTTTTTTCTGTCATTTGGTCTTTCCTCTTCTTTGACCTGATCTTTCAGTGGAGGCAGGGAAGGTTTACCATAATGTAATCCTCATTCGTTCAGCTGGCCAGCTTTTGGCCATCCCTTCAGTCAGATCAGGAGATTCTCTCTTTGTCTTGGTGATTCTTCATTTAGTGCTGTTCAGCTGTAAATGTACTTTCTTACTTTATTTGAATCGTTTTCTGTGCTTATTTTTGATTTCACGCTAACATTATTAAAAACTCTTTCCTGATGCATTGGCTTTGCCTCTGCAGTGATTTTCAAGAAAGAAAGCCTTCTTCTCATGCTTTAATTGAGTGACAATTAAACAAGAACCTTCCCTTTTTTAAAATACTGTCTAAATTTTAAGKAGGGAGTTTTACTTTGTTTGGAGTTTGTTTGCCTTGCCTTGTGTAGTTGTAAGATACATATTCTGAATGTCCTTTTAAATGCTACTTTTTTTGGTTATACATTCCTGACATTTTTTAAGTCCAAGGGAATTTTATCCACATAAATGGATGCCGTCATTGGCTTAAATGAAATACTGGTGTGCTGTGGTTTTAGGAAGCAGACAATGATCCAACGGGAGAAGCAGCAGCCAACACGCAGCAGACCTTGACGTTTTATGAACTGGACTTGGGTTTGAACCACGTGGTTAGGAAATACAGTGAGCCCTTGGAAGAGCATGGCAACTTCCTTATAACAGGTACTGCCTGCCCCAGCACTAAATTAATTTTTTGCAGATCTACTGACAATTCCGATTCCCCAGAGAAGCAGCATCGATAGGTTGTAACTATTATGAGTTGTCTCCGTTCATACTAATAGCCTGAGCTATTAGTATGAATTAATTCAGCTTGGAGTCAGCTGCAGGTTGCACCTTGGGGAGTGCCCTACATCTCTTAGAGATGTATCCTGAAGTCTCTCATTGATCAGAAGCTGGAGGTGTTAAGCAGTAGTTTAATTAACTGGTGATAAATTGAAAAGAATGTGTTTTTATGTAAGGCACATGTAACACTGTGCTACTCTTAAGCTAAGATGCCAGAAGTTTATATGTGTTTGAAAAGTGGATTCATGGACTCAAATCACAAGAGTTGGATGCAAAGCTACTGTCATTGGTTTGGAAAACTTGTAAACTGCATTTTTAATTTCTCAGGTAAATGGAAGCCAGGAGCAAGGGAATCCCTGTAAGCTTGTCCCATTCCTGCCTCTTCTCTGGGCAGCTCTCAGACACAGATACTGTGGCACTAGGTCTGATCAGTGCCACAGTTGTGCTGATATCCCCCTATTATGCTTGAACATCAACAGAAGCATTTTCAGAAACATATTTTGGAAATGAGAGATGTGTTCAAAAAAATCTGATATTTTTTTTTGACAGTAAGCAAACATGCCAGGAATCCAAAGGTTGTATTCAACTGACAGGTTGTTAATAATGTGTTTCAGGCATGTCATAGCTTTCTGTTATCTTTCTTTACAAAAATAAGGTATGAAACAAACAAATTGTATTTCCTTTTCCTCCTTCTTGCCCCCTTACTTCCTGATCTTAATTACGGTGCTGCCCCCTTACTATGGCACAAAATGTTGCACTTAGAGCATTTGCCTTCTTCAGTAAGGGCAGATACGTATATGTAGGGAGGTGCAGAGTAATAGAAACTGTTCTAAAGAAATCAAATGTGTTGCCAACAGCAGTCACGTGGTGGTAAGGGCTGTTCTTACAGAAATGCTTCTTTGCTGTGTTTCAGTTCCTGGTGGCTCTGATGGCCCTAGCGGTGTGCTGATTTGTTCTGAAAACTATATTACSTATAAAAACTTTGGTGACCAGCCTGATATCAGATGTCCAATTCCCAGGAGACGGGTGAGAATTTTGGCATTCTTACCTCATTTGAAAGTTATTTTTGCTGGTGCTAAACAGATACTTGATATTTGCTGCTTTGGAGTTGAAGGCATCATTGAGGGAAAAGCCTGTCTGCCCCGAGTGGAGGCTCATCTATCTTAGAGGCTGCATTCCCCTCATGTGAGGCAAGGCGAGGGTAAGTGTAGCCTGAAATGATGAGTTTGATTCATGTCTCTTCTCTGAGATTTATGCTGGAGATAGTCCAGTGACTCTGATCAGGCGCAGCCTGGCAGTATTAGGGTTGCCAGAGGCAGCAAGTTGTGGTTGCCATCATGCACGCAGGTGAGTTTGGTAGCTGCCCTGTTSTATCTCATGCTGCCTCCTCCTCCCTCACTGTTGTGTCTTTTAGCTTGAGGCACCACTGTAGGCCAGGTGCTAAGAAGCAGCTTTGTTTGGATTGCAGCCCTCTCCTCCTGTGGTTAGTTTGCATGTACGAGAGCCCGCTGGGGAAGCAGGGGAAAGAAGTTGGAGAGGAATGTATAAACCTGGGGTCTTAGAAACATATTTCTCCCTGGGGCAAAGATGTAGCCAGGGTATTCCCAGTGTGACAAAGGGGATGAGCTTTCAGCTGAAAGCCTCTTCACATACTCTTAGACACCTGTGAAATGGAAATGCTTCACTTGGTGAGAATACGTGTGTACTTGCTGGGTAAGTCTTTTCCACCAATGATCCCCATTTTCTCTCGTGACAGAATGACTTGGATGATCCAGAGAGAGGGATGATTTTTGTCTGCTCTGCTACACATAAGACCAAATCGATGTTTTTCTTCTTGGCCCAGACAGAGCAGGGAGACATCTTCAAAATTACRCTCGAGACTGATGAAGACATGGTAAGCATCAGCTGAAGAGGAACCCAATTAAGTGTTTTACAATTAATTTGAGATGTTCACAGGAACTGCTTTCCATCTCTTACTGAATATTTACTAGTGGTGGTATTTGGGGTTTCTGTTGTTTTTTGTTATCACAGAATGGTTAAGGTTGGAAGGGACCTCTAGAGATCATCTAGTCCAACCTGTTATTTTGTTTTTGATTTCATGTAACTGTCTTGGTAGGACTAATCTCATGACTTGAAGTGACTTTCTGCTGCTTGGCCTAGTATTTTGCAATAAAAAGAAAGCTGTGCTGCAGAGAACTAGCAGAGTTTTTTGATCAATAGTGATTGCAAGTTCTTCATCTAAACACGACCAGCAGGTCAAGGGAGGTGATTCTGCCCTTCTACTGAGCTCTGGTGAGGCCGCACCTGGAGTTCTGTGTGCAGTTCTGAGCTCCCCAGTATAAGAGGAACACGGAGCTCCTAGAGAGGGTCCAGCAGAGAGCAACTAAGATGATGAAGGGACTGGAACATCTCTCATATGAGGAGAGACTGAGTGAGTTGGGCCTCACTGAGGCTTGGAGAAGAGAAGGCTGAGAGGGGGTATGATTAACATGTATAAGTTCATGAAGGGGGAATGTAGGGAGGAAGGGGCCAGGCTCTTCTCATTGGTGGTGGCCAGCGATAGGACAAGGGGCAATGGGTGTAAGCTGCAACACAGGAAGTTCCATCTCCATCTGAGGAAGAACTTCTTTACTGTGAGGGTGCCAGAGCCCTGGCACAGGCTGCCCAGGGAGGTTGTGGAGTCTCCTTCTCTGGAAGTCTTCAGAACCCGCCTGGATGCCACCCTGTGCCACACGCTCTGGGTGTCCCTGCTGGAGCAGGAAGGTTGGACTAGATGATCTCTAGAGGTCCCTTCCAACCTTGAACATTCTATGATTCTATGGCAAATTTGACACGAATATTAAAAGTGTAGCATCTTCAAGTGACTTCATATTGATCTTGGACATTCCAGCAAGAGTTGTTTTGACTGTATCAAATGTAGCAATTTTCTCAGAATGAGTTTTACTTTTTTTTCACATCTAGGAATTAGGTGGTAGTGATGAACCGAAGAGGATTTCTTCTCTCTTGAAGAGAGCTTGCGATTTTCCTAGCTGTTTCTTCACACTGACTCAGTATTTCAAAAAAAACCCAGAAAGACGTAAATTAAAGAAATCCTAACTTATGTTTTCGGGGAAATCTGTTGGATTTCATAACACAAAGTTATGGTGAGATTGTGCGTGAAACTTTTGGRGATTATTTTTAGGAAACTGTTCTTACTAAATCACATATGCAGTGATCTAGCATTTACATTGCCAGTTATAAACACTTCTCTTTTGGCCATTTTCAGGTAACAGAGATTCGACTGAAATACTTTGACACTGTTCCTGTAGCTGCTGCCATGTGTGTGCTGAAGACAGGGTTTCTGTTTGTGGCATCTGAATTTGGAAACCAGTGAGTAAACAACTTTACTAGAGTGTTTCCCCTGCATTCCAACAAGTTCTGTTCACAACTGCAAACTGACCTGTGACCTTACTCAAAGACAACCTGTGTTTTACTGATTGAATTATTGCTTTGCTCACGTGGTTTGAGCACAACAATTGGCTTAGATTGTGACTGAATGGGGAATTTTCTTGGAACAAAAGATCCCATGCTTGGCTTAATAGRTTCTGGAGGGTTTGAAACCTTGCATTTCTTGGAGTTTCCAAACCACATCGATTGCATTGTGTTTAAACGAGTTTGAACTGCCTTTACTTGAACTTTCATATGTATTACATAGTCATTCAAAACGCTGTGGCCTGAAAATGGGTTTGTATGCCCCTGAGTGTGATTTAACAGGTGCAAATGTGGGATTTGCTTGCACGAAAATCAGTACTGTTTTTAGAACTTCTCTGCAGAGCCAGCCACCTGGGGGAGCTCCAGACAGTTTGCTAGAGTCTAAATTCAGTTGCATAAACCAAGTTTTAGAAATCCTCGTTGCTTGAGTTTTATTAAAAACAGGAAGTAAATCACTTTTTTTCCTCTTTCACTCATGTTTAACTTGTTGATTGTAATATTTACACTGACACAACGGAATAGGAAGGTGTTTAAAAGTAATGAGGTGAGAGCAGTCCCATAAAACAACTGTGGAACTGGAGCCTTAGCCACAGGTTCTGCTCTTTGCTTCACCCATCAATTAGTGCTTTGATTCTAACATGAGAAAATYCCAAAGGCTCAAGGGTAAACAGAGCAAACCCTGAAAGTCCTGGCTACCATGAGAAAACTCTGATTTTTCTTGCAGACATCTTATCTGGTTAAGATGTCTAAGACACTGATCCTCAAGACTAAATTTTAATAACTGTACAACAGAGGGAAGGATCCTCTATCTCCCCTAGACCCCTCAAATACTTGGCTAAGCCTAACTTAGAGAAGGCTTTGTGAGCTTTGCACTAAACATCCTCTTGCTTTTTGGTCTGAAGTTACCTGTACCAGATAGCTCACCTGGGTGACGATGACGAGGAACCAGAGTTCTCTTCTGCCATGCCCCTTGAGGAAGGAGATACCTTCTTTTTCCAGCCACGACCTCTCAAGAACCTGGTGCTGGTGGATGAACTGGACAGTTTGTCTCCTATTCTGTGCTGTCAGGTATGTTGTCCCATTCACCCAGACAAGAAATCTTTCTCACTTAACAGAGCAATTAATAAGTAGATGATTTTTATCTCCACTTTTCTGTGGAGCATAAGCCATGTCAGCAGAGCAACATTGTCCTGGGTTTCCAGAATTACTGCATTGTACTAAATGCTGATAGAAAAGCAAGTCTGCTGAATCTCAGGCAGTTACTTAAGGCTGGTACCAGGCCTGGCATCCCTTGGTTGCTGTGACAGTAAACATGTATCCGGAAGTCCTGTGCACAGGCAGCAGTCCTGTGCTCATCCTTTGCTTGCTGTTAGACCAGGCCTATGTCTATTCTGCAGAAAATTTRGTTAAATTTTGCCATTATTTCAGTGCAGCAGATGGCACATGCTGTGGCAGTTCCCTGTTTTAAGTGAAGAATGATTGAATTTAAACACAATAACAACGTATAAAGCTTGGGTTTATTTTCAATTGGGTGTTGTTTGGCACTGTTTCTCTACATAGATAGCGGATTTGGCCAATGAAGACACCCCTCAGTTGTATGTGGCCTGTGGTCGGGGACCCCGCTCATCTCTGAGGGTTCTGAGACATGGACTTGAGGTAAGACTTCCAGTGCTTTGCGAAAACARCTTTGTAGGCAGGGGGAATAATGCAAGAAAATCCTTGAAATAAGAGTGCTGAAGTGAAGGGGAGATTCTAGTCTGGGAAGAGCATCTTTCTGCAGGTGTTTATTTCTTCCTGAAAATACGAGAGTTTTGCTGCTTGCTCTCAGTCTTGAAGGCTTTTTTGTTCATAAGCAGATGCATTTGGGCTCCTCTGTAGTTTGAGTGTGAGTTGGAACGTTCCAGGTGTCTGCAGCTGCTGATCTCCTGGCAGTGGTTAAGCTTATTTTAAAGCTGATCATCCGGAGCTTTAATATGAGACATTATAACCTACATGATGAGCATATTCCACCCCACAGCCCATCTGGCATGGGGAGAGAGCATCGTAATTAAGGATTTGTTAGCTTTCCTGACTGGTTTTGTAGGGTACTTACTAGTGATTGTTCAATGATTTATTGCAATAAATTCTCATCTTAACAGCCTTTTTGAAAAGARTCTGTTTTTGTTTTGTCTTAGGTGTCTGAAATGGCTGTCTCGGAGCTGCCCGGTAACCCCAATGCTGTATGGACTGTGAGGAGACATGTTGAAGGTATGCAGCATTTCCCAAAGCACAGAGGGGTAATAACATTTCTTTTGCTCAGGGAGATAAGAGAGCATGATGTGTGCGTCTGCTGTCCCTCGAAGTTCTGATCTGAATCAGTAACCTCTAGTTTGTATTTAAAAATCACCTTCTGCTCCCCTAAAATTGTCAACGGACTCTTYGACCAAGGAGCATCTGCCTGCAGCTGTGTCTGTCACCCAGTGTGCCCCATCACATGTGTGTTTCCAGCCTGAAGCCGCCCATCTTCTTASCCCAGTTGCCATAGGTTCTTGCTCTAGCATCAGTAGACGCTGATTGTGCTTTTGTCAGGAGTGCTCTTGGCCGCAGTTGTCAGCAGACACACACACGTCAACTCCTCGGGAAAGAGTGGTATTCAAGTCAGGGAACAAAGACAAGCAAATTGGCAGCAGATGAATGTTTTCTCACTTTCCTCCATGCATAGCTGCAAGGAAGACATCCTACTTGGGCTAGGAGACACTTCCTATTGAAAAACTCAGTGTTTAAGATGCTGCTAAATCCAGGAAGGTTAAGATTTGAAATAGGCAGAATGTGCTTATT